TAAACTTCATCACTAAAGCTCCTTTCTTTCTATGGAGAGACCTAGAAACATTTCCCAGGATGGGTATGTCTGCCTCAGGAAGGTAACTCACCTGCATCAGTCACTCTTGTTTCTGAAGCACTGTTGGGAATCTCCCTGGGATGCAGCTTGGAGGAAGAGGCCTGAAGAAGCTCAGGAAGGCAATGGGCAGCACTTGGTCTTGAACAAGGATGAAGGCAGCCGGTTATACAGTAAGGCCAAGACATCAGCTGTTCACATAAGTTAGAAGTCACGCTAGGATACACACCTTAAAACATGGTGCCCATCGCTTATACCCATTAGGCTCTACTACAGTCAAATCCCCAAGTCAGACTCAAAGCCAAACAGGAGTACCTGCACATGGGCTGAGGTCACACCGCCTTTAAGTCAGGGTGCACAGAAGGGACAACCAACGCCTGGGGCTGAGTTTTCTCACCCCCATGAGCCCTAGGCCCCAAAGGTCTTTAATGTGTGGCACAACACAAATACAAATGGTGCCCTCAAGGCTTAGTATCATGATCCCCCACAGACCAAACAGGCTGTCAGTGAGCAGGAGGAAGCAGGAAGTGCAAACGAGGTAAAGCCAAAGCAATTATATTCTTTTGGGAGCAGATAAATGCTTAACAGAGATATCAGAATGAGGATAGCTGTGCCCCGAGTTCTTTCAGTCTTTGATTTCCAAGTTCCTTTGAACTCCTGAAATGACTCTTTGATTACAGCCACCATCCCCTTGGGTTATGTCCTTGATCCAGCATAAAAATCCCATGGGACTGATAGATTGCACTGAGAAAGAGGTCCCCTTCCCACCTGCTCTTCAAAAGCAACCAAGATCAACCAACCTGTTCAGACACATCTAAAGAGCAGTCAGATTCAAAGTGTGTTTCCATCAAACCCTCCTCCAATTCCCATAGCTGTATTAATCCAGATGGGTCAAACACTGCTGTAAGTTCACACCCTCCAAGACAGGTACCAGCACTTTGCTCTCTGCTTCTACAGCACCTAAGAGAACTCCATCCAAGCTTATAAGGTTCACCAACAAGTATACTGAAAGCAGTAAGTAAAATTGCAAAGAAACCCTGTTTTCACCCTAGATTTCCCAGAGGAAACAAATTTTGAGGATCCCCCGGACAAATCACATAGTTGTTGATACAACGAATTCTCCTAGGATATATACAGGGTTTGGACTGAGCAATGACACAAATTCAGCTCTGTTAAAGGTGACAAGTGACCACAAAACCCCCATCTCCAACCTCATTCCTATTCCTACATCCTTATCTCTTTTGGCACAGACCCTCGTTTCAGTCCAAAATCGCTGTCACGGTCTATTTTAGGGGGAAAGCACGAGCGTCTGAGCTAAGAAGCTCCAGCAGGCGTCCAGGTCAGCAGAGCCCTTCTCCTGGATGCAAAGGGGAGCAGATACAGCCGAGCCGCGCAAGGCTGAGCAGCAGAGCGGCAGTGTCGCCCGCTGGCCGCTCGCAGCATTGCCAGCTGACAGAGCTCCGACCACACCATCCTTCACCCTCCCCGCCCTCTGCACCTTCCTCCCTGCTCTCACTTCGGGGAAACGTGCTGAATTAGCAGCCCTGAAGGTTCACCGGCACAAAACCAGGAGCTCTGCGGGTGCAGCCCATGGATGGAGGCAGGTAGAACCGTACCGTCCAGATAAAAAAAAAAACATCCCACATCCTTATCTTCTCTTCCTATTTTACCCTGCCCAGCTTCCACTCTGCAAATATTAATCCCAAAGGTAATTAATAACTTTCTCAGCAGGGAATAGAAGTCATCCGAGATAAGATACCTGTGCAACCACGCTGTGATATCAACAAAGTGAAACATACTCTCTGAACAGCTATTTCATAGCAGCTGAGTGGGCTTCCATCAGAAACCTGTACTTTGGTTATGACCTCTGCCCTAATGAAGAAAAGCACAGACATGTGCAGAGTCATATCTCAGCACCCAGAACCGGGTGTGACCCAAGCACACTGGGTCAAGAATAAAAGGCAATATGCAGAACAATGCTATCCTGCTTGTAAAGGCAGCAAGAGCTGGTAACAGCTCCACACAGCCACTGTCACAGCCAGCTACAAGCCTTCAAGACAGCAGGTAAATCCAATTTGCCAGGAGCACACACACAGGCTTGCCACTTATATCTGATTTTAGCATCTCAAGAAGTCCAGAAGAGAGAAGGACATGTTTAACCAGGGGACACCTGCAGGACTGAGCAGTACTTTTCTCTGGCAGGTCACTGAGGTACAGCAGTGACTTTCCTGTAGCAGATGAGCTACATCCATGGCCCCTGTATCACTGCAGATCCTTTTGAAGCTTTGCTCCAGTAGGAAGCCCTCATGCAGGTGGTGGGGTTTGTTCTTCTGCAGCTTTACTGAAAACAGTGTTTCCCCCTCCCATCCTCAAGCCCACCACCCAGAAGCTGGGCTGCTGTTTTTTCCCAGCTGTCAGGCCTCCTCTGCCTCCACTGGATGCATGGTGTCTCCTTCTAGAAACGTGGACCTCCACAGAATGGCCTAAGCCCCTCAGAGCCCCTTCTAGAGGCAGAGCTGCACGACCACAGCACCAGAGGAGCCTCCCCCCAAGCACATCAAGTGTTTTACCAACAAAGGCTTTCACACAATGAAGCAGCAAGAAAAATAATCAGTGCTCACATGGTTTAATCTCAATTTCCCAACAAAAGGGCTCACACGAAGACACCTTTAGCATAATGGAAGCTGTCTTTATTTTGATGCAGTTTAAGAAATGTTGTCCTTGCTCAGAAACCTTCTCGAAAGCACTGTCCCAAGGTGATGCACTGATGCATGGCCAATACCTCCTCAGCTCACTGATCTCCATGTGAGCTGTCAACTGGAGCAGCTCCCCTCATCCCCTTCACCCCTCTTCCTGGAGGTCCAAGCAGGACACAGTTGTTTCTGGACATCCAGTCTACACCAGCTCCTCTACTCTTCCTTCTCACTGAGGTTTCCCTAAAGGACAGGTCAGTTACCTACAAAGCAGCTCCTGGACCACAGCACTCTATAAAGCTACACAGGAAGGTAAGCCAAAGTCAGGGCAGTGCCCCCTCAGCTCAGTGATGCAGGTCAGCAGCTGTTTTCCAGGCAGCAGAAATATTCTCACGGTAGCGTAAGCCACCCTCATGCACCATTCTTCCTCTCTTCAGCGGGAGCAGCAGCCAGCAAGAGAAAAGCTGGCTTCTTGAGCTGTTCCAGCTATCTGCACAGCAGTACTCAAGGCATCCCCAAGGGAGCAGAAACATCTTAACTGAGAAGAAAGTTCAAGGAAGCTTGGAGATGGCATCCCAAGAGTGCTGGTTAGCACAAACCAGGACCAGCAACAGCTGTGCCCAGGACTACGCTGGGAGGCCTGACAAGTACCTAGAGAAAGCTGCTGTGGGCTTGTCATGAAAGAAAAGCAGCAGCATGAGCGAGACAGAGTTGAGTAAGTTTCTTGAACCCTCAGGTTTCCTTCATAACTCTGCTGTAACAGAAGGCGTATATGCAGAAGGCCATGATGGTGCTCATCTACATACACAAAAAAGAGCCTTTGCCTCTAAGGAGAGCCACCCACGGCCACCTCCACTCGAAGCCCGTCACACAACTCTTTCACCCTGCACTACAGGCAGAACCAGGGGTGTCACTGGAGGTGTGTGCAGTGATCTCTCTCCCAGAGAATGACCCTCATCACTGCTGGGAGGTGACATGAAGGAGATGCAGGTTGGTATGAATGACCCTGGATACCTGAATACATGAATTCACTTTAGTAAGGGAAGTTTAGAGCTCTGAATTAAAAAAAAAAATATATAAAAGAAAACAAGTTCAGGGACACTACAGTCAAATCTCTGAGCCACAGTCTTTTTGCAGGTTGGGAAAAGGTTCCTACTCAGATCCAGTTCTGGATCTATTTTTCAAAGATGTCAGGCTCAGTAATGACATTATTGCTGCAGCTCATCACCACCCAAATCCATTTAAAGCTCAAGTCGGAGCAAGAGCAAGCAACCACTGTGCTACCTACCTACTATTTTTCCTCCAGCCATCAAGGTTATTACCAAGACTTCTGACTTATACTGCTAAGGACAGGGAAGGTGCTGCAGTCACCAGGCCATCAAGGTTATTACCAAGACTTCTGACCTATACTGCTGACAGGGAAGGTGCTGCAGTCACCAAAAAGCCCAGACAAAACCAAACCACAAACGATATTGAAACTCACCTGACAAACAGACCATACAAAAATGTTCCAGCATCTTAAGCTTGGTAGTCTAAAGAGACGATTTAGAGGCAATGATTAACTCAAACAGCAGCTTCTCCTCCAAGACTGAATGTCCCAGGAGTTGGTTCAACAGGAAAATTTATTGTTGCAACTCAGTATGGATTAGGGAACCTGAACATACAGACATGGGAGTATGCTATCAGACCTAGGAAGAGCAAGCCATACAGCACCTTCCAGTGGACTAATGTCGAGATCTGCACGCACCACCACACTACAGGCTGTAGTGAGCAATGACCTGTAGCTGGCACTGGGAAATAAACCAGCACTAGCCAGCAACAGAGGAAGATAGCTGCTCTTATAGCATTCCAATCTCTGCCCCCAAAGCAGTCATTATGCTCTTCTTTTTCTCTCAATCTTGCCACGCACGCCCTACTCCCCTGAGCCCTCCTCAAAGGCAAATGGTAAGAGGCAGAGTAACATTTTGCATATTCTCTCCTCCCTCCTTATATCTGTCCATTCTTCCACTCATGGAGCTCTACACCATTCTTCAAGGCACAGACATGAAGGACGTATCAAGATGTGCCAGGCTTCTTCAGATTCATGTCAGTGCATTCAAGCAACAACGTATGCAATTAACTGGAAAGGAAAAGTGATTTTTAATGGCTTTACCAGTAACAGGAGCCACTCAACTACTGGACAGAACTACTTATGCCTCCATAGTTATAAATACAGTGAGACAGACAGGACTTTTTGCGGAAAGACAAACATGATTCCACTCCATTATCACCTTTTTATTGTTAAAAGGACAGATCTTCACAGTGGAAAAAAAAAAGGATGTTGCACAAGGAGAAGAGGATGTAGCTTCTACTGGTCCTTCAATTCCTTCAGTCTTCTGATCGCAGATTTGACTGTCACTGCAGAGGTGGTACTGGAAGGAAAAGCAGAGTCATCTGCACGTGGCAGCAGAACAACCCGCACCAACATTATTTTTTGGAGAAAGTCCTAATAATTTCAAATAGTTATCGCCTGATTGCATTTCAAAAGGGGGCTAATTCCACTTTGATTTTCATGACAACAAAGTGCAGGCCTCTGTCTGCAGAAGCACGTGCAACTTCACATGCTACATCTCAGCCCAAATTACCCAGTCACGCATCGACTGCATGCACAAGCACGTGGGCTCAGATTCCTAGCGACTGTTATGCATGGGGCAACAGTGTCTTCTACCAGAATGGGGAGGGACTGGAAGGAGAGTAAAGAAAGGGAGCAAGCAAGGGCAACATCACAGTAAGGATTACAAAGATTTAATGATTTTAAAACAAAAGCAGAACATGGAAATAATTTTTCTTGGGGTAAACCTGGTTTTGCCTACTGTATCTATGCCTCTGAACTGAAAAGGCTGGGACAGTAATCACAAAAAATGCTGCTTAGGCTTTGGAAGAAGAGGTAAGAGTTTCCTTACACAATTAAAATTCTTATACAGTCAAAAGAATCAAGGAAAGAAAAATAATCCCCAGCTCAAACATAATTTATTAGCTGTTGAAGCTCTTTTTAGAATAGGTTGGAGGTACATCTGTCAGGTGCCACCCATACGGCCAATTCCACCCTGAGATGGCTGGATGAACCAGCCATCTTCTCTGCTCCTTTTCTTCCAAAATCACCAAAAACTGGCCCAAGAGCAGTACCTCGTACAAGCAACAACTGTAGTTCACATCTCCAGTAAGAAATGGTACTACAGCCAACGCACTAAAGAAACTACGTAAATAAAAATATTTGTTTCAGCATTTGCATGTTTCAATTTATCTGAAGTTTCAGAAAAGATGCAGAATAATTTTCTTCTTTTTGAAGAATAAAACAACTACTCTGATAAAACCCAGAGAGATAAATAATTTTGGAGGGACCCACTAAAACCAGCAGCAGTAATATGATGGATAAAGTGCAATATTCTCAGAAGCTACACAACAGATAATGCAAAGAGGAGCAGTCAAATCTGATTTGATCCATTCCAATCTAATTGTAACAATACAGGCAAAAAAACCCTCCACATATCACTAACTTGAGAAAGATCTACTTAACGGTTAGTAGATTAAAATTAAAAAAAATTTAAAAGCTGTATTGTGCTTCAGCCAGGTGAGAACAAATGCTGATAGGAGCTTCTTCAGTTTCTTACTTGTAAGTCCAGGCACCACCAGCAACTGTCTTCATGCAGGATCCACAGTGCCAGATACCCACAGCCTTCCTCTTCATTTTGGTCTGTAATAAAAGAAAAAGAAAAAAAACAAAGCACCCTCCATCAGCTGAAAACACCAAACAACAAATTTCAGGTGAAGACTTCAGCATGACACTACAGCATTACCTATAAGCCCAGTCAAGACAGGCAAGGATCAGGGAAAGCTTTTGTTCAGATTGTTCAGAACAGGGAAAGTCCTTCTGAAAGACTTTTTCATTCAGATATAAAGTGGGTCATTTCTAAGCGCACCATTAAAAATTCAGCTCTTTTTGAAGGAGAAAAATAGTAAGGAGTTACACTGGTCATAATAACAGATCTTCTCACCTGGTTTGGTGACCAATGTAATACTGCTATTATTAGTAATCCATGGACACCCCGAGATTGCTCTGAACTGGACCCTCTTTGAACAGTATCTAAAGAGTGAGTAGTGGGTACTGAGCTCCTTTCACCTGGACAAGTCTCCCTCACCTTGCCAAGATGACAATGAGTTTGCCTAGACCTGTACTGGATTTAGGCAGCTCTTCAAATGGGGTTATCAATGTTCTCACATCACAGGAAAAAGACATAAAATATAAAAAAAAAAACCAAACACATGTAAACCTTTTAAAATTTCTAGCCACTCAAAGATACCTGCTTTACAGATATCAACAAAAATTATCTAGGCAAAGCACAAGACGATGGGCCTCTCAAACTGTCAAAAAACAGATGTAAGAATGAATTTTGATTATGTACTCCAGCAGATATGGTTCATATCAGAAATTCTTCCCCATCCAGAGTTATACAGCAAACAAATACAAGTAAGCAACTGCAATCAAACATTTTAAGTTGGAAACGCAAGCTTTCCTCCTCCTCCAGGTAAGCTGTAAAGTTACTGAAAAAAAAAAGCACAAGTCATACTTTAATTACCAGGACAACAAGTGTGTTTTTTTAATTCTGTCAAGTTATTAGATACCCAAAACACTTAGTACAGCAACATTTCTCACTATTTTCTATAACAAAATATAGTTTGTCTTCATTTAACTACCACTAAACATGCACTTGAAATGTCTACCACCGCTTCTTGTAACAGATTCTGACAGTAGCTTAAAGCTCACAATAAATGAAACACCGTCTCAAAGCTAGCTGAATTATCTTTTCAGTATAAAAAATACATTTCTGACACCAGTTGCAAAATTATTTTTAAAGGCTGTTTTAGGGAAGGAGGTCTCTCACCTTGCCGCAGAAGGAGCAGGTATATTTGGCATGCTGGCTGATTTCAATCTTCTTCACCATTTTCCTAAGGGATGCACCGTAGCGGGTACCATATTTACCCACAATCCCAACCTTCTTGGTGCGCTTAGCCTGTTGGGAGGCAAACCAGAATAAGCTGCAACTCCACTGAGATGTCCATCTCCTCGGCAGCTCCCCTCTCCCGACAGGACAGCAAAGCCCTCGGCACTCAAAAGCGGCACCGCAGCCGAACAACGCCTCTCCCTGGCGTTGTGAGCCACGGTATCAGTAACGAAAAGGCGAGCGGCTCACGCAGCCCCAGCCTCCCAGCTGCTGCCGGGGCACTCCGAGCAGAGGGCCGCAGCCTGGCAGCCCAGCACAAGCACAGCCC